CTCCTATCCAGCCCCCTCTCGACCAACCCCCCCAGGGCCTTTTCCGCCGGGCAGCTTTCCAGCCCCTCTGCCCCACGCCTGGAGCGCTGCCTGGGGTTGTGGTGACCCCAGGGCAGGACCCGGCCCTTGGCCTTGTTGACCCTCACCCAGTTGGGCTGGGCCCATGGCTCCAGCCTGGCCAGGTCCCCCCTGCAGAGCCCTCCTTCCCCACAGCAGATCCACGTGGGGGCCACCCGCTCACCGTAGGTCAGGTTGGTCAGGCAGGACCTGCCCTTCATGAACCCATCCTGGCTGGGCCCGATCCCCTGGCTGCCCTGTGCGTGCCACGTGATGGCCCCCAAGATGATCAGCTCCATCACCTTCCCCAGCACCGAGGTCAGGCTGACAGGGCTGGAGCTCCCCGCACGCTCCTACCTGCCCTTCTTGGAGCTGGGCGTCACATTTGTCCCCCCCTCGGGGACCTCCCGCGTTAACCAGGGCTGGTGACCAACGATGGAGGGTGGCGTGGCAAGCTCCTCCAGCAGCTCCTGCAGCACTCGGCTGGATCCCACCCGGCCCCATGGACCTGTGGGTGCCCAGGCGGCGCAGCCGGGTGTAACCTGCTCCCTCCTGGCTGAGGGGGGGTTTGTGTCCCTCTCCATCCCCATCTGCCAGCTCGGGGGGCTCAGGACCTTGGGGGTAACAGGTCTGGCTATTGGAGACTGAGGCAAAGGTGGCATTAAGCACCTCGACCTCTTCCTCACCCTCGGTGGCAACCCCCCCCCCCTCGCATCCACTCCTCCCTGGCTCCCGTTTTTGCTGTTAACGTAGCTGTAAAAACATTTTTTTTATTATCCCTTCCAACAGCAGCCAGGTTGAGCTCCAGCTGGGCTTTTGCCTCTCTGATTTCCTCCCTGCGTGACCTAACAAGATCCTGTGCTCTTCTCGAGCTGCCGCCCCTTCTTCCCAAACTGGGGGAACTCTCCTTTTCTTCCCGAATCCCAGCAAACGCTCCCCAGTGGGCCGGGCTGGTCGTCTTCCCCGCCGGTTCATCTTTCGGCACATCGGGACGCTTTGGACTCCTCGTAGCCTTCCCAGACCCCTCCCCATCACCCAGGTTTATTTACA